CGCCCCGCCCCGCCCCGCCCCGCCCCGCGCCAGTGCGCTAATGTTGCTGCGGTGACGCTTCCTGACGTCACCGCGGGCCGGTGTATATAATTGTAGCTCCGCTTTGGCGCCGAGTGGATATATGGCGAACAACAACAGGCAGCAGCGGCGGGCAGCATGGAATGCGATTGATGAGCGTCGTGTCTCGATGGAGTCGTTAGCGTGCGTCAAAGGGAGGAGGAGGAGGAGGAGGAAGAGCCCGCCGAGTGTAACCCGCAGCCTGTGTTCCTTTCGTGTCCGCAGCCCGGCGCCTCTCCGTGGAGCTGCTGCCCAACATGACGGAGCTCGCGGAGATCAACACGTCCATGCAGGCCGTGTCTTTCGGCAAGCAGATCAGCGTGCTGCTCACCCGCGGCTACATCAAGATCAAGCGAGACCAGGTGAGTAGTGCGCTAGGCCGGGGGCATTGTGGGCCCGAGGGGCACTTATTCTCACACAAAATCAGTGTACATACCCAAATAATGAGAAAAAATAAGAAAAAGATAAATAGTGTTTTTTAGGGAAAAAATCAGATTAAAACAGGAAAATAGAGAAAATGGTGTACGCTTGAATTAATGGTAAAGGACCCCTCGGTTGGGCCCGGCAACCGCGCGCGCACGCGCCGGATAGCCCCGCCCTCACCCCATGCAGGCCACAGCAGCCGGTCACGCCGGCCACCGCTGCTAGCGGCGTGGGGGAAACGATTGGCCCATCCGCGTTATCGACTGTGGATTCAGCATTTATTATTTTTGAAGAAAATCGGGTGTCTGCGCGAACCGCCACTCGGCAGCTCTAGCATGATTGCTCGAGGTACAACGACGCACTTGAGGTCTAATTCTCTGCCCGTCTTCTCTCCAGACTATGACGCATATGCGGCTGTTTGTGAACGTGATCGTCGGCCTTCTCCTCGGCATCCTGTTCTGGCAGGCCGGGGACGAGGGCTCCAGAGTGCTGGACAACTGGAACCTGCTCTTTACCATCCTAATTCACCACATGATGACCACCATGATGCTCACCGTGCTCACATGTGAGTATCACTCTTGCGGTCTTTATTACTGGGAAAAAAGTATAACATTTGTTGGCTTTTCACACTTAACACATCACCTTATATTTTACAGTCCCCACCGAAATGCAAATCCTTAGGAAAGAACACTTCAACAGATGGTATTCGCTGAAGTCTTACTACATGTCCATCAACATCTTGGAGCTGCCCGTGTCGGTAAGTTCGAAACTCTCAGCCCGCCGCAGTCCTTCTAACACTTAACCGCCCAAAAAGCTAACTCTGTCACTCTCCTGTCCCCCTCCAGATCGTATGCTGCACAGTATTCACCGTCATCGTGTACCTCATGAGCGCGCAGCCCCTGGAGTGGGTTCGGTTCGGCGTGTTCCTGGGCATCAGCATCCTTGTCGTCCTGGTGGCGCAGACCGTCGGCCTGCTGGTGGGCGCCCTCTTCAGTGTCGTGGTGCGTATCCCATTCCTCACTTTGTGCGCAGTTCAATCGAAGGTCCCCTCCCATAACGACATCTGCTCTCTACAGAACGGCACCTTCCTGGCGCCCACCTTGTCCGTGCCCATGATGATGTTTGCCGGGTTCGGCGTGAGCCTCAAGGACATGCCCGACTACCTCAAGTGGGGGCCGTACGTCTCGTACCTGCGCTACGGGCTGGAGGGCTACGTCGGCTCCATCTACGGCCGCAACAGGACGACTCTGGGGTGCGCCGACCAGCCCGGCAAGGACTTTGTAAGTGACAAAGCTACTCTAAGCAGGCGATACACCCAGGAAATCATGTTCTTGAGCCCTGATTTCTCAAGAACATTTGCATCAGGGCAATGCAATTTCTTTTGCACTAATGCAATTTGCATTGGGACAAAGATAATGTTCTCGGTTCAGCCAGTTCAGCCGAGCACATTTACGTCACTCAAAAACACGCTTTTTTGGGTGTAACCGTCCCTCCTTGAAACCGCGACTAACGCCGCCCTCCGTTACAGAGCTACTGCCACTACAAGTACCCGACCAAGTTCCTGAAGGAGATCTCCATGGACGGCGAGATGTACGTGATGGACCTGATCATCCTCGGCGTCATCCTGCTGGTGCTCAGGCTCTCCGTGTACCCGCTGCTGCGCTGGAAGCTGTTCGCCATGAGATGAGCGGGCTGGTGCCATGTACCGCCTTTCCTTAGTGATCCAAGTTACCTGATGACAATTGTGCCCACCGTGGCGGTGCAAGCCACCCGACTTGACTAGTCGCAAACGCAGACATTTGAAAGTGCCAAGACAAACTGTCATCACATTATGTGAATCAAGTACTTCGTTTTCGTTTTTCATTTTATACTAGAAAACCGTGTCCGTCCGTGTCGTCAGTGAGTGTTTTACGCCGGACGATTTAATTTGTACACCCTCGCGTGTTGTTGATACGTCTGCTTTTCTTTTTGTTCTTAAAAATACGATATTGTTGATATTGTAACGCGTTACAAGCGTAAATTAGGTGGTCGAGTCGTACCACGTGATATATGTTATTGAGATTGAAGGTCGGCTACCCTTGTCCACGTGGTTAGGCGTCGAAGGGAGCGTTTGCCACCAAAGCATGAAACCTGATTCTGACCTAAACTCGCTGTCGACGGGTGGGTAGTTTCGTCTGCCCCGACCCTGGCGACCCCGACCCTGGCCGCGACCACGGGAAGGAAGTCGCCTTCGCTGTAGTTAACTTATTTGTGTGTACCGTCAGGTCGGTGTGCGAGCGCCTGCGATCAAATCGCAGGCGCGAATCTGTCTGTGATGTCCCCTATCGTGTGTAGACAAGGATTCAAGCCTCGAGTCCTAATTGTATTTTCTAATTTATTTAAACGAATTTTTTTGTGGCGTACAGTTTACTTCTTAGCGTAATTGGTAGCATCACGTTGAAGGAACTTTAGAGAGAAGTCGCGTCCTAGCGAGACGTACTGCTCTCTCGATGTTTTTCACTTTTTAAATGTAATGTATGTCATAGTTGTAAGCGGCGTAAGAGAATGTCCAGCTATCACCATCAAAGAGATTTCCATTGTTGTCTTGTACACGAACAATTGCTCAATACCAGTATGATAGAAGTATGATTCTACTAGTAACACATGTGTATATATTATATTGTTAACTATGTTTGTCTTAAGTTATGTTACAATTAAAAAAATGCGCTTATTAATACTCTAGATACCTGGCCCTCGTTATTCCTGCTCACCGCAAGGCCTCTCCAGGACCTCACCAGGACCTGTTGGAAGGTTAAAAGGCAGGTCGCAGCCGGGCGAGTCAGGAGGGGGTGAGTCGGTGGCGCTCATCGGTAAGTGAATAAGACACGGCGAGATGGCGGTGGCGTCCGCCGAGTCGGAGTCTGAGGCCATCGACAACCCGAGGCCCTGCATCCCGACCCTGGCGTGAATGCCCACGAAGACGAGGGTCGCGAGGCTCACGGCGAGCAGCCCGGCGCGGGCCGCGAGTCGCCGGCCGTTCGACTTGGGCCCGAAAGGGGGGGAGCCTCCCCCGTTGTCGTCGTCGTCGGGGCAGACGTCGGCGGGCGTCTGCGGGCACGGCGCGATGTGGTGGTCCACCTCCCGCAGCTTGCGCATGTCCACGAAGCTGTAGGTCAGCACGTTCAGGACGCGTAAGGCGGCCGCGTGGCCGAGCCTCGCCGTCGACCGCCCCAGCACCCAGGTGCGCGCTGCGAACAAGAGGAGAAGGTCGTCGGGCCGGAACAACGTCTCGCGGGACGGCGGTGGCGCCCGTGTGTAGGCAACCCAACCGGCATGGCCCCTCCCCGACTCGACTCCGCGAGACTGCAGCAGAGTGAGGGTGTTCTGGGTGTTCTAAGATGTATTTTCTGTCTGGTTAATACGGCACAGTATGCAGGCGTGCCTACCGACGTTCACCTCGGCGTCGCCTTATGGCCCCGTGCGAGTATGCAACCCGTCCGCACGCATGCATCCGGTACAGTAAAACCAGATAAAGAAATGTACGGCTTACTTAGATCAGGCAACCACTCAGTACAGAACTCGCTCCTTACCGCTGTCCCATCCTTTTACTCTATCGGAACAGCTGTAGACGACGGCGAACTCTTTGTAGTCTGTGTCGAGAACCCAGTAGTTTTCGAAAATATCTGGGGAATGTAAAAGGTCGACAAAAATAATTTTGCAATTATGTTGTTGTTTCTCTTTCTGCCGTTTTGCATGATGATAATTACCTCTACCACTGCGAACTGGGTCTTCAGTCGTGAATTTCGCCTCCGAAGGGTCGACCGTATCTAATTCATACGTTCTGTTTGCGACGGATTCTCCGCTGAAATTTTTGAGAGTGAAAAGACGAATGGCATCTCGCACTTCGCAGAGTAATTGATTGTTGCTTGTACTTGAAACCTTACTCAGAATTATACTGGTGAATATCAAGGGTCATTTTGTTCGCGCGGCCCTTGCTAAAGTGATGTCGCGTACAGAACCCCGTCGTTGTGTCTGTAGGCGTCTCCTCAAGCACGACCCACGTACCTTGAAACTAGGATTGACCTGCCAATGTTGATGTTGTGATTTATTTCAAAATGAAAGTCTAGGCTGGAGGTCGCTCACCTTTGCCCTGTCAAACTTCTCGACGGTCGTGACATCGAGGGGGCACTTTAACGTGTCGCAGACGGAATCGGACGACTGGAAGTCGATGATGTCCAGATCCAAGTCCCTCAACACGTCGGTCACCTCTTTCTCGGGGAGCTGGGATGGATCTCGACTTCGGGCAATGATCTTCAAAGAGTCTGCAACAGCGAAGGTGGGGAGCATTGGACACCGGTTGAATGGGTAGGGAGGAGACATCGCTAAAACAGACAGGCACTTACTGTGGGCCGCGTTGTCCCGGTAGTCCTCAGGGGGATCGGAGCAGGCGGACACGAGCGCCCAGCTCTGGTACGACGCGTACAGGATGTCGTAGTGCCTCACGGGAGCCCCGGGGCGGTCGCGGAAGACGTAGCGGCCCTCACCGGACAGCAGGTCCACCGGCACGATCTCCAGCATCTCCGGCCGGCTGAAGCTGTTGCGCGCGTCGCTGGTCTGCAGGAACATGCTGCCGTTGACGGCGGCCGCCAGCAAGTAGGTGGGGCATTTCGGCGGGTTCCTGGGCGGCAGGTCCAGCGACTTGACCAGGTACCACGTGCCTGCAAACTGAATTACAAGGGCAGTTCGTCAGCGTCGTCGCTCGCTCGCAAGCAGCACACACAAAGAAACACGCGTATCCCATTTTTCCGGAGTACGTGGAGTACACCACACACCCAGAGAACCATTTAGTTGATACAACTAAATCAGGGTTGTTGTAAGAAACAAAATTTAGTCCCTAAAACGGACTAAAATTTGATAACCCAGTTATTAACTAGATAAAGTCGCACCAATCAAATTAAGTCACCTGGACAACATTATTTCATCGCCACGAATAAATTTTAGTCTCCTGAATTTGGTTCTCTGGACTAAGCGGTCTTCTGGGTGCATGGAGTACACCGGGAGCACGCGGAGTACGCCGAGTACACCTGGAGTACGCTGAGTACGCCGAGTACACGTGTGGAGTACGCGCGGAGTACGCGGAGTACACGTGGAGTACACCCGGAGTACGCCGAGTACACGTGGAGTACGCCGAGTACGCCTGGAGTACTCAGAGTACACGTGGAGTACACCCGGAGTACGCGGAGTACACGTGGAGTCCACCCGGAGTACGCCGAGTACACCACCTGGAAGCGCGGTGCGCAGTTTGCTGCTGCTCACTTCACCTGGAGGGCGTCGAAGTCCCTCATGGCGGGCCCGCGCGGCACGCAGGTGTCGGGTATGCAGGGGCGGGTGTCGAGGTCGATCATCTCGCCCTCGATGTTGTTGACGCCGTAGAGGCGCAGAACTTCGTTGACCTTGCTGCGCGCTCCCTTGCCCAGCCAGTACCGCCTGCTCAGCACCCGCAGCGTCTCCGTGGCCTGGCCCTCGTCGTTGCAGCTGACAATCACGGAGTACGAGTCGTAGTCGGTGTCCACGACGCGGTACGTCTGCTTCACGCCCGTCGGCAGGATGAGGGAGAACACGCCCATCCCGGGCGGCCCCTCGAACGCCGCCATGCCCTGTAGCGTCGTGAACTGGCCCGTGCTGCACCAAACGACACACCGTCAGGCGTCAGGCACACCGGCAGAACGTCGAGAGCATCGCTTGGGAGGAGTGAGGGCGGGGGCGGACTCACCGGATGCTGTAGGTCTTCTCGAAGTATGCCACGGCGTTGCTGGCCGTGGCGAAGACGTGCGTCAGGCACTGGACGAATGTCGGGGGCGTGGGCTTGAACGCCACCATGATGTCGTGCCAGCTGCCCGAGTACTGGCGGAGGACGGTCGATCAGGAGCGGTAGTGTCATGAACCCGGTGATCGGCAGCAAAAGGACTCACCCTCGCCAGGTCGAAGTCCTCGAGGAAGTTTCTCTTGAGGCAGCTGACGGCCACGGGTATGGAGGTGATGGGGGCGGGGAATGCCGTGGACAGGTACTGGGGGCAGCTGACGCCCATGTCGATCTCCACGACGTCGTGTTGGCCGATGATTTTAACTCCCTTCAGCCACTGTTCGATCTTCCAGAGGTCCGCTGTATCCGGGGTGCGTGACGAGTAAAACACGCACCACATTGTCGCTTTGTATCCGTCTGAGGAGCAAAGCCAGCAGACAGACGGGGTTGGTTTCGGTGGTGCATCTAGAGCAGGGAAACGCGGCAGCGCCACTCGGCACTGTGTGCTGCTGTGGAAACACTCACCAGCATCTCTCACACCTTGGAGGCCGCCCACGAAATACGTCTCGTAATTTGTGCCAAGCGGCAGGAAAGTAAAGGCTGTTGACATAAGCGGTGATAATTGAAAAGTGTGGGGGCACAAACAGCGAATGACTTTTCAAGAACGGTGAGTTATTCAGGGCTTACCATCGTCATCAGTGAAGCACTCTAGCGCGCCCGCGCCCATGGAGGAGTCCTTCTCGCAGCGCAGGGATGGGTAACTTTGACTGTCCAAATAATATAATAAAACATTCTAGTGGAGTGCCTTGACTTTAAAAGTCTCTGGCGGAGACAATTCTGCAGACAGCTTACCCGTTTTTGAATATAGTAGCATTTATTCTGCCCGTCAGCATATGGTAGTGCAAATCAAAGTAGAAGCACGATTCAGCATCATGCGCCGAATTACGCGCGGCGACTTTCAGACTCTTGAGGTGCCATGTTTTCACTTTCGCAAGCTGTCAGACAAATGGAAAACGGCCGTAAGGCGCCCATGTGGTAATCGGATCGTCCAGAAAGTTCGTCCGCTTTTCTCTCGTGTCCGGCAAATTACCGCGGCGCTTGGCGCCTGCGAAACTCAGAGTAGGCCATCCAGCAGTGCACGCGTGCACCGCGTGCAAGATGTTGCCTACCTACCAGGCGCTATGAGAGCTTGCACAGGCCGAACTGGGCAGTTTCGTCGAGTTTCGTATCTCCAAGAGAGGACAGGTATACGTTACAGAGCGAAGCACATGGAGAGAGGGGCAATGCGTGTTACAACTACCTGGCTATGAATCCCACCGACACTGAGCACCGCGTCTCTTACCACTCACCCTATGTAGATCGATGTCGAAGAAAGGCGGGCTCGGCGAGATGCTGCTGCCGCCTGCTCTCGT